CTATGAGCATTTTATCCTTATATACCAATCCCGTACGAAGGACGGGTACTCTGTTAGTAAAATATAACTTTTAATAATCTTCAGAAGAATAAGAAAGCGTACGCTGACTTCAAAAAGGAATTTAAATAATAATAAAAAACGCAAGATCACACGTTCCCACGGCCTGAGACTTGTCTGAGAACTAACCAGACACGTAATGTATTTCGATCACGACTGCATAGTCGAAGAAACCAGAAACAATGCGAAAAAAAAGACACAATGTTCTCATTTTTCTAAGTATTTAAACATACAGGAGAACAATAAATGAATAAGCACGCCCTCCAGAGGCCGATCAGAAGAGAAGAAGCCAATAGAGACATCAATTGGAAATATCCATCTATGTATTTATTAGCATACGATTTTATATCATGTTTACCAATTATGGCAATGAATAGAGATGAGATGGTTGGAGAACCATACTAAATTTGTCCTGTTGTTAGTAAATTTCTCTATAGGGTAGTGGGTATTACCGTAGGGCTCATAGTAAGACATGAGCCCGTGACCGATTTACTTTTTCATTTTTATGTCTCCAGAGACCAAAAACACTATTCTTTCAAATTTGTATATAGATATATGTATACTGTATATATATGTGTGTGTGTGAACACGATCACTTGAGTAATCTTAGTTTGATTTTGACAAACTTTGGTTTAAATGTGTAAGGCAGGATAATCGAGAATGAGCTCATGAACCAGCACGACGGACCACGGGAACGGGGTTTTAAGGGTGTGGAAGAAGGGGGGGGGGGGGTTATGGAGTAAAAATAAAAATTTTTTACCATCAAAACACAAGATATTCCAATTTCTCTCTAGACCATTTTAAAGAGCTTAAAAAGACAAATAATTTAGTATATTGAAGGGGTTTTGGGCGGCTATTGGTTACGGAGAAAATTCAAGAAATTTTAAATTTAAAATGTCTATGTTATTCTTATAGAGAATATTGTAAAATGTTGTAGTTGGCTTGTTTATGGGTATATTTTGAACGAAAGTGGCAAATTTATTTATTTTATATTAAGCTATTAATATTTTACCAAAAAACATACTTTATTAGCCTCCCTGTAGCAGCAAACCTAGGTATTAGTTAAACCTAATGTTACTTAAATAGAATTAATTGGATATCAATTCAGGCAAATGTAAATTTGCTTATTCTGCAGGTTTGATGGGGTAGGGGTAATTTAAGTGTTTTTTATTGTAAGCTAAATAATTATAAGATTTATGTGGTTCATAAGTATTCATATTTTCTTTGATTCCATTTTATACAAACCACTTTAGATTCCACATGGAATCAGTGGTAATTTATTTTTAAAAATCATTGTAACTTTTATTAAAGAATATACGGAGATTATAAAAAATCTCCGGTTTTTGTAGCCTAGTTGTGAACCAAACTTAATAATTAGAATGCCAAGCTAGTTTAATAATATTTCTGACTTCGTGGGAGATCAAATCAGATATTTATCTTCGTGCGTAGTAAATGAGATTTTTTTTCACCAATCTATCTTTAGGGCCTAATTTGATTTAGCAAATATGCTTGTTCCAAACAAGTATATAATAAATTACTAACGTCACCTAATATTATTTGTAGTATAATTCAATACAATGTATTTCTAAAACAGACTGATGTTAGTATTGTAACATAACAGTGGGTTTGTATGGCCTTTCGTTATTTGTGTGAAGTTACAGGTCCTAGAGAAGACTGCATTAGGTTGATGTCAATCCTCGAATATCATATGCGTGAGGCCCTTGCTGGGTATGGTTATCTTGTAGGATATATGACGGTTAACAATAAACTATAAATTTAGCCATGACGTTACATTTCATATACTCTCTAGAGAAAAAAAATCCTCATAATTTGACATAATGTGACTTAAAATATGGATACCAAAAATAAATTTAACATCCAATCCATCGATTAATAAGTAGTTCAAAGTATTTAACTAATGTCAACTTAAAACAAAAAACACACACTTAAACTCATTTACTGTCTACAACTATCTTGTATATTGTACTTGACAAAAGATAATTTGAGCTAAAACATTTCATTGCAATATGATAGAAATGAATAGAAATAATTTACTTGTTCCGCCAGATAAAAATATTTACAATGGGTAAATTCCCTAGGTGGAATACTACGTTCAATTATTCAAGTATAATCCATTTATGTCTGACCATATTTTAATTTGAAATGAGACTCCTCTAGCACCAAAATTGCTGCCTACATATCCACGCAAGGATTTTTGAAATGTATTGATTATTTCAACACCTCCGTTTCCGTAATATGAAGTCAGAGCAAAATCTTAGTCCGTTAAGAGTGTGACACTATCCCATTGTTGTTCAGTCTAACGTACTTAGGTTGGACCGTTTAAACTGTTTACATCTTAGAAAGTAACATTATATTGATTAAAATATTCATCCAACGAGTAGGAAAGTAAACAAGCACAAGCAAAAAGGTGTACTATTAGTCCTGACTGCATTATTGACTTACATTATTGTCCTGTGGTTGTATCAAATAGAACATTGCCTCTCCAAGTATTACTTCAAAGTCAACATATTTTTTTTAATTTGTAATTTGTAAAATTTGATGTTTCCTGGTAACATCCCTTTTCTACCCGTAATTAGTAACCGATTGTTACGACTGAGGTGTCATTTTAAGCCTTATGATCTAGCATGGAGGCGAATGGTAAAAAGGTAATCTACCTTTAGGTATTTACCCACCAAACCTTTTATTTGATTTTGCAGGATGTTTTAAAAGGTCCAGTGCTGCTGATCAACTTTCTTTTTAAATGTTTTAAATGTGAATTGTAATTTAATAGCTAACCTTCAGCTGAATTCTCAACCACAATCAACATTTTAGCAAATTTAAAAAACGGGATTTTTAATAGGCTACTTTTTTATAGTTGTAACTTGATTGAAGCAGGTGAGTAACACTTTTTTGTATCAATCTAGAATCTATTATTATTAATTTTAATTATCTAATGATTTTCTTAAACAAGCATATTTTCTTTATACGATGATTTATTTATGTTTATAACTTTGAAAAGTAAACTGGATGTAGGTACATTACTCGTTTGCTTTTAAACAGATTTTGTACCTTATTCAAATGCACAATTTGTGCATGGGGCCCCCATGTTACATTGATTTGAACCAAGTTAAGAGCTGGCAAATATCCAGGTTCCCCAGCTAATCTTAAGTTAATGTGTTGTAAACATGCCGGCAGACCGTTTGTCTTAACCATATGTTGTTCTGCACGATTTAGCCCAAACACGTAATTACAATATTCATTCGTACGTGAATGAAATTAGTTGATAAGGGAACCGTTAGGTAAATATTAATAAAGTATATAACTAAGTACAAAAATGTGCGAACCTTCCTTTATAGTAAATATTTGTTAAATGCAATGCTAACATAATTATTTTGTTAACTGGCCTCAACTATATATTGTTATTGTTTCCCGTAAAGTTAATGGATTTTTTTCTGCGCCAGTGGCATTTTTACTGGAAGTCATTTTGTGAGTCTAAACACATTCAAGGGAATGCGACCCAAACCCATATTAAAGTTTTGTGGATGTACCAGGTTCTAAACATGTCTCTCCCACACCGAAATCCGAGGCGCTAACCACTAGGCGAGCAACACATATAATGTTGCGTATTGAATCTAAATATTCTCAATCGTTACCTTTATTTAAACGTTACATCACGAGGGATAGAAAATTAGTTTATTAGTTTAGTATAGTTTTCTGAAATAAAGAAGATGTAAAACAATTAAATATTAACTCTTTTATCACCGAGTTGTCTGTCGATAAACAGCAAATAGTTCACTACTCAGTCATTTTATGTTTAAGCAAAAATAAATCCATTACATTAGGTTTTATATCGTAGGTCTGGTGTGTCATTCTGCCAAAGTATAAAATGAATACAATAAAAAAATAAAACTATCAGCATGTTTTATTTATAATATAACTGTTTTACTTCACAATAATACAAAGTATACTTTAACAAAATGATTTACGAACATATTTTTAGGTAATTAAACAAAAGTATTTCAATTCTTGATAATTATAAGACCTTTGGTTCAAAGTTACAACGGAATATACAATATCAGAAATTAATGTTTCATTTCATATTCGGTTGTGCAGCAGCTAAAGTATTAGCGTTGGTGCTGAGTGTATTTACATGCTTGTAAAGGTTTTTTAAACATGCATTCGACTTTTCACTGCTATTTTGAACTTTGTAAATGTGTTCGGTCATCGGTCAATTTATGTTAACTTAAAAATATTTTTCTGGAATAAAAATTAAATTAAAATTTGTAGTTGAAAGTTATACTGAAATTGTTTTATAGTAATGTGAATGATTAATTTTTAAATGGTTAAGTATACAAGTAATGCCAAATCCCAATCGGTTATTGTTACTAGGTCTATGACTGCTGACTTGCGAACCATCACTAACAACCGGCCGTGTCTTCTAAATACATTTTTACTTTCTCCCCCTATACCATAGTATATGGAGAAAGTATTGTTTTCGTCAAAATTTTCGAGTTTGAGTTTTGAGTGGATATATTCGTTTTGGGTTCCCCCGGACCCAAAAAAGTGGTTTTCGAAGTGATGTCTGTGTGTGTGCGAGTGTGTGTGTGTGTGTGTGTGTGTGTGTGTGTGTGTGCGCGCGTGTCCGTGAACGTGATAACTTGAGTAACTTTTGTCCGATTTTGATTAAATTTTGTTAAAACGTGTAAGGCATAAACTTGAATAAGTTCGCAAACCAGCATGATCGGACCATGAGAACGGGGTTTGACGTGGGGTGTGGTATTACTGTGAGACAGACATATTTTACTTGAAAGATTATGAGGAAAAGTGGTCTGTATTCATTAAACTGCTGTAATCTCGTAATGATAAGAAAACAGTTTTTATCTTGGTTGACTTTTGCCTTGCTGGGCTTCCCCGCATCTAGCTCAGTTCTATTGATAACAATTCAATGATTGTTGTTGTTCGTCAACTTCACTTTAGTTAGTCTGAACAATGCATCTGACATGGCTGTTAGTAGGTTTTCTACTTTCAGGTAAGTTTTTTTTCTATTAGTGTGTTCAATTATTTTTACTGTAGACCTACTAGATGTTTAATTTTAGTTACACACATTTTGAGCTTGCAAGATACTAAACTTTGGTTCAAATTTCCATCTTAACTCAATGAGTACTTAAATGCTGTACTTATAACTATTTATTCATCTGACGAACGTTCTGTAAGGTAACTTCAAGCCTCAATGGTCATATTTGTTATCTATATTTTACCGTTTTGACTAGTTGTTCAAAAAGGTCCATCAAATTTTAATAGACCAAAGAACTGTCGTCATTAGGAACTAAAACTATTTCTTTTATATCGGTGTCATTTTAGTCTTCTACCTTTATTGCTTAGGATGACTTGCAAGCCACATATGCCTATTTGTGAGACCTTTACAGTAAATGATGTTAATAATATGTCAACAAGTGCATGCTTCATCATTGTATCAATATCCAGATTTTAGTCTAAACATAAATAGTATCTTCATTTCAACATAAAACTAATTGAATGTGAATACATTTATCATTACATGACACTAGTTGGAAGAAGCTATTTATTGAAAGTAGTATGTGAAGTAGCTCTATGATTGAGTATACCTCAGGGAAACTTGTTTAACCTTAATATTTTAGTGTAGATTTTTTTGAAGACTGAAAGAGACGAATGTGTTTTAGGATTGGAGGCAGTGCCACTGATTATGTCAGTGACGAGTGAAATTAATATGTTCAATGAATCGGACACAGACCTCTTAACAACAATGACAATTAGAGGAAACCATATTGTTGCTGTTGACTATCACTTGGCCAGAGGGGAAATCTACTTCAGTGACTCAGCAACAACAGGTCAAATATTCAGGTGAGTAACCTAGCTAACCGGTGATGTGTATGTATAACTAAAAGACACAGACAACTTTACAACGATGACATCTAGAGGAAACCATATAGTTGCTGTTGACTATCACTTGGCCAGAGGAGAGGTCTACTTCAGTGACTCAGGAACAGGTCAAATATTCAGGTGAGTAACCTAGCTAACTGGTGATGTGTATATAACTAAAAAACAACTTGATAACGATGGCATCCAGAGGATACAATGTAGTTGCTGTTGAATACCACTTGGCTGCTGAATTTTTATTTCAGGAATAATTTTACCAACAGTGTCATTTGGAGGCTTCTGATTGGCTGATTCTGATTTGGAGGCTTTTTGTCCAGGATTTTTTCATTATCAGCAAGTTTGTTTGGTTTGTTAGGTTATGACCTTTTAATTTTATAATTAATTAAAACATTATAAAATTGAATTTGAACCATTTATAGTTTTATTTTATAAACAGAACTATTTTTTTGATTAAACCTTAATTAGATTTTTCATTATCAGCAAGTCTAGTTAGTTTGGTTAGGTTATGACGGTTTAATTTCATGATTAAAATATATAAAATTGAATTTGAGACATTTATAATTTTATTTAATGAACAGAACTAATTTTTCGATTAGTAAACCTTTAATAGCCAATCAGAAGCCTCCTAATGACACTGTTGGCAAAATTAATCCTGAAATACAAATCGTGCCACTTGGCCAGAGGAGAGATCTACTTCAGTGACTCAAAATAGATCAAATGTTCAGGGGAGTAACCTAAAACAGGTGATTTTCAAAATAAGATCACTATAAAACACATACAGTACTACTTGACAAAAATTACATCTGGAGGAAATTGCAGTTGAAAACACGCCCTCTCTTCATTGCAGCATCAAACCTAAGTAATCGTTAAGCTAATGTTATTTGGATAGGGAATAATTATCCTTTTTAGGTGATATTTTTTTAAATCCAATCAGGCAAATGGAAATTCGCTTAGTCTGCAGGTCTTCTGTGGCTGGAAAAAAAATTCGACACGTAAAAATTATTACAACAAGATTACAACAGAATTTTATTTTCAGGACATCGCTGAGGTCTTTTGAGTCTCAGAAGCCTAGTGTGATTGCGGAGATCGATGAGTCTTATGGGTTGGCTGTAGACTGGATGCATGACAATCTCTACTGGACAGATACAGGGAGAGTGACAGTGGAGGTCGCTACCTTGGATGGTCTCTATCGGAAGGTTTTGTTCGACGGTTCTCATGGTCTCCAGAAACCAAGAGCCATTGTGCTGGATCCAAAAAATGGGTATGGTTAGTTTTGCAGTACACTTGACACACACTTTGTCCCATTAGTTTGTCAACAACCTTTATCATGGATAAGCGGTGGAAGTAACTGTGATATTTTATAGGGAAAACCACAAAAGTTGCAATAACTGTTGAAACGTAAAGTTTCAGCAATGGGAGGATGCACCCTTTACTTGAAAATTATAAGGACCATAACATACAAATTTTAATCAAAGTCAGTTTGTTTCAAAAACCAGGTTTTCCGTTATTTTTTTTTTATGGGGATATAACATAAGTTACAATAGCTTTAAAATGTTTATTCTACAGCAATTACACCTATACCATTTTGTTCAGAATTGAAAGGGCTATAACATACTAATATTTGATCAAAACCGTTCGGGCCGTTTTCAAAAATATGCTATTTTTCGTTATTTAATTTTTTTTTATTTGGGATAATCACCATTAAAAATCTAAATTTCAAAAATAAGGAAAACCCGCATGGAGATACCATGGATTAGTATCTACATACCAATTCCCTTCAAAATTGGGCTTCAGGTGTGGCTCTGTACACATCTACACATACAGACACACGCACACACACGCGCACACCCCCCCCCCACACACACACACACACGCACACACATCACTTCACACTGGGGACCCAAAACGGATATATCCACTAAAAACTCAAACTCGAAAATGTTGACGAAAACAATACTTTCTTCATATACTATTACTATGGTATAGGGGGAGAAAGTAAAATTACCCATGCGTTGTTTAACCATACGGCAAAACCCGTTTAATTTGCAAGGAGCGCAACCTCTTTAATCACTCTGTATATACGTAAAAGTTTAGGCTTCATATAATATAATAAACTAAATATAGGTTTAATGTTTTTTTAATAAAGGGTGTTCAAAACCCAGAGGGACACTAGTTCAAATCTCGGAAATATCAAATACAAACATGTATCACATTATACATAATTTTAAAGCCCTATTAAAAGTAAACATTTTAGTGAAAACAAAACAAAATTATTTTTAGCCGTTTTAAAATAGCGGCCACTTTTTAGAAAAAGTATCAGATTTGTGGAATAACCTGTATTTTTCATGAAATTGCAGATATCTTTACCCTAATTCAAATGTCGCATTCAATTTTGACCTAATCTTTATTCTGGTATCCAACGTTTTAGGTTAGGTTAAATCCAAGCGTTGAACGAAATGGGAAACACTGCAACAGCTGGCTGTTGCCAACTTATTTTCAAGCGTACATGTATTACATGCCTAATAAAAATAAAAGCATACTGTTTTTTTAACGCTTGGTTGGAATACTGGAGTGCAGCAAAAGTAAATACCCCCGCCGCAGCAAACCTGCAGACTTAGCGAATTTCCTTTGCCTGATTGGATTTACACTAAAATGTCTCCTTAAAAAAATCACATTTGTTCCCTATTTAAACAGAATTAGTTTAACGAGTACTTAGGTTTGCTGCAACAGGGAGGGTAAAAAAGTTTTTTTTAAATGTAAAATGTTCCAAACCATTAACTGTGGTTTAGTAAGAAATTAATGTATTTTCAAAATTTTATCAAAATATGTTCATAAACTAGCAAACTACAACAGTTAACTTATTCTCCATTAGAATAACATGGGAATTTTAAAATTAAAACTTTTTTTAATTATCTCCGTATCCATTTGGCGCATAATAACGCTTCAATATACTAAATTATTTGTTTTTTTTTAAGCTCTACAAAATGGTTTAGAAAGAAATTGTGAAATTTTGTGTTTTTAGGGTCAAAAATGGAAAAAACCTATTTACCCCATAAAACCCCCCATAAACCCCCGTTCCTATACCCTAGTAGCACAAATATATATTAAATACATATGAATAAATATATTTAAAATCTATTTTATATATCTCAAGTGTGTATTAATGTCAATTTTATATAATATTTAAAATATATTAAATATATAAAAAATATGTTTTTGAATCTATTAAATATTAAAAAAATATGTTCCAATAATATATTTTAGTGAATAATATATAAATAAAAAATGTATTTAATATCTCTTCCAAACATCCCATTGGGGCCTAAACATAAAAACACAAAATAATAAAGATTTAGTATGAAAAACACAATTATCAGTTGAGTAAATTGATTAAATAGTTCATAAAAACAAATTTTGAAAAAATTACTGGATAAAATTTTTTTAGCCCGAATGGGTCTCGAACCTGGGTCCTTCGACTTATGAGCCTCCTACCTTACCTCTGAGCTACTTGTGACTGTTGTAATCATTAGTTTTCAAATGGTGAAAGAGTGGCCCTCAGTTGCAATGGTTGCAATACTTGAAATATTTTGGATACTACAGTATAATATGATTCTGTTTTGGCATCAAGTAGTTGAGTTGAATAGTGCTGTAGTGAATAGTGAGTAGTCTCCACGAATACAAATACAGTAAACTACAAAAATTAATTTAAATACTATGACAAATATTATGTAATTTATGGCATATGTAAATCAAATAATTATTTTTAGAACGTCATATACAACCGTAATTAGTTTCTTAAAAGGTCGCCAGTTACTAGCACCCTTTTCTAGCCAATCATTCGAGATTTCTATGATCACATTCATTGTCACATATTGCAATTAAAAAAATAAAACCCATCAACACTTTTTTTCGTTTGACCCAAATGTAGTTGTCGAACATGTATACTGCCTCTTAACTATATGCTATTTTTTCTTTACGTGTATGATAGAGTGACACCATTCAGAGTACATATTATTATTAACTTAATTTTAACGCTTTCACAATAGCAATTATAAAAAAAAATGCATGTATAAATTGATAGAAACTATAAAAAACAAAAAGATGCAAATTATTTATTTGCTAATTATAAAAGATTATAGGCTATATATTCTACAAATATAATATTATTTTATTAATAAAAATATCTGACGTGTTTCAAAATATATTTATAAATAATTTTAATATATAATATAGTTTCAAAAATATTTTATGTATATATTTAAAATATTCTCAACACATAATTTTTTTTAAATATTTAATAGGAAAAATATACATATAAAATATGTATATTATAGATTCTATACTTGTTTTATCAATATATATTATGAATCTATTTTATATATTCAAAACTTATATTTAATTTATATTTTGCATTGCTTTTTGGTAATATTTTAAATATATATTTGAATATATCAAACTATTATTAAAGATATATTATATATATATATTTTATTCGAGGTTCTATCAAATACAACTTTAAATATATAAAACATTTATAAAATACATATTTGTGCTACTAGGGTAGTCCAATCATGCTGGTTCGCAAACTCATTCAAGTTTATCCCGCCTTACACCTTCAAACCAAATTTTATCAAAATCGGACAAAAATTACTCAAGTTATCTTGCGGATGGACACACATATATATATATATATATCTATATATAGATATATAAAATTTGAACGAATGGTGTTTTTGGCCTCTGGGGACATCAAAATGAAAAAGTAAATCGGTCCCGGGCCTAGGTCTTACCATGAGACCTACGGTAATAGCTACTTCCCTATAGGGAAATTCGATAAAAGAGTGCGGGAAAAGTAGTCAAATGCAAAAATTTGCATCTTTCTGTACTATAATCAGTGCAAGAAACCCCACTTTGTCACGTGACTGTAGGAAAAGTATATTGATTTAAATATAATTAAACTCTGCTATGAAATGTTAATTTTCAGAGTTCTATTTTGGAGTGACTGGGGAGACGACTCCAGAGTCAACTCAGCAGGGCTTGATGGCAAAAAAATGAAAACAATTGTTTCTTCAAACATTTACTGGCCAAACGGATTAACATTAGATTTATCTAAATCAAAACTTTACATCCTGGATGGATTTTTATCGACATTATCATCATGCAACTATGATGGCTCTCAGGTTACAGTTCTTAGCAGATCTCCAGACAATTTTCAACAAGGTTTCGGTTTAACATACTACGCAAACACATTGTATTGGAATTCTTGGCGCCATCGGGCTTTGTTTAAAATGAATATAGACGAATTACAAAGAGAAACTGTACTTCAAGTGAATGGTGTAAGTTATTAATATTTTAAGTAATCATACAAATCATCCTTTGTATTTAGAACTTCATTTATCATCATTATACAAGATGAACTAATGGCAAATTCCAGATCTTTTAACTTATATTTCAAGAGTTTAAAATGTAGCTATACCACAATACTGACTTAAACTATTAATTGCATAGTTTATCATCTAGGCTTATTGTCTGGGTAGCCAAGTGGTGAGATTGTTTCTATACCCAGGTGCCATTTGTGATAGGGATAATAATTAATGATACAATCTAGAAAAAAAGGTCAACCTAAGAATAGTATAAAGACCATAGTTTGACCGTTCCCAAAATATAAAAAAATGGCTTGGATATACAGAAAATATAGAAAAGAGCATATTGACATATCAAATAGTCAGATATTTACAAATCCATAGCTTCTTCACCCAAAGACATAGTGAATATACCGACCCTAATGAAATTCAAAACAAATAATCTTAAAATGAAAAGGAAATTGCAGTAATCTCTGTTATCGTAATTTTTCAACTGATTTATTAACAAAACTTAGACAATTTTGTGGAAAAACTAATACCTAGTACAATTTTGTAGCAATGCAAGGTGTACTATTAAACCTACCTTACCCTTTTGTTTTAATTGAATAAAACGCTTTAATTACTTATAATTTTTAAGTATTTTTATTAGTTTTTTATTATTTCAGTTGCGAGGGATTTTAGAGCGAATGATGGGGTTGAAGGCGGTCCATGCCAGTCTACAGCCAGCCCTGCCCCAGACAGTGCAGGATCCCTGCAGCAACAGTAACAGTCAGTGTACCCATCACTGTCTAGTCGGTAGAGATCTCACCCCAACCTGCATATGTGCCTTTGGATACAAACTGGCGGCTGATGGCAAGACGTGCATTGAAGAAGGTAAAGGCAACACAACTTTAATAATGGCTGATTGTTGCTCTTAAAAACTAGATTAAAACACATTTACACGCATTATACATTACCCGTACTAAACTTTTTTTCTATTTCAACAGGCTACCTTTTGGTCTCTTGGAGGCTAACTATAACCCGTTTATCTATGGATGGTCATGATTTGGAACCACTCATAGACACTACAAATATAGCAACATCACTTGGATATCATTTTAAAAAGGGCTTGGTATTTTGGAATGATGTGATGGAGCATAAAATATACAGGTAACTATGTTTAACTCATTTATTTGGTAAGTAAATATGATAACTCGTATGGGTCAATTCTGACGGATTTTTCTCTTTAAACTATCAATACCATATAGGATATTTAAAAGTTATCAGTATATTGACATACATTCATTATAGCCTATGTTTTTTTTTCTTTAAAATGTGAAAAATAACAATTAACATCAACATAAATTAATTTATCCTATAATAGAATGTCAATAACTGTTAAATTTTGTTTGATTGTCAAGATGAGAACTAGTGTCACTAACTATGAACTAAAAATTACAGTATATCCCTTGATTCATTAATCCTGATAAAAAAGAAAATAACTATAATTATTAATAGACCTATATCACTGCTGGATATTTTTTAGGATATTTAAAAGTTATCAGTATATTGACATACATTCATTATAGCCTATGTTTTTTTTTCTTAAAAATGTGAAAAATTACAATTAACATCAACATAAATTAATTTATCCTATAATAGAATGTCAATAACTGTTAAATTTTGTTTGATTGTCAAGATGAGAACTAGTGTCACTAACTATGAACTAAAAATTACAGTATATCCCTTGATTCATTAATCCTGATAAAAAAGAAAATAACTATAATTATTAATAGACCTATATCACTGCTGTTTCGTCTTAATATTAAATTTTTGTTTAACTTTAATTCTGAAATTATACTACTGCACTGTGGTTTTGTTAGGGAGTAGGAAAACCTACAACTACACCACTGCTTCTGCCAAATGAACATTTGTGATTGATTTTAAAATAAAATACAGTTTGTTGTTTCACTTGTAAGAGTTACTCAAGTATCAAATGTGGCGATGCATAATTTAAGCTTAAACAGGGTTGGTTTAGATACTGAGATAAATTGTTGTGTCAGGGCTCCTCTGGACCAATTAAACAACAAGTCTGTGGTGGCCTCGCCACATACTTGCGATGGTCTGACTGTAGACTGGGTGCATGACGTCATCTACTGGACGGACACTGAACATGACACTGTGGAGGCAGCCCAACTAGACGGCTCCAAACATCTCATCCTCTTCGACACAGACCTAGACAAGCCACGAGATATCGCTGTTGACCCGCTTGAAGGGTAATACTTTTTAAAATTAAATCAATCTATTATTTCACCACAAATTAATATCTGATTGAGTACATTTACAATTTGTTTGCGACATATTTATTTCAATGACTTTAAGGAGGTAAACATTGGACTGATATGAGCCCAACCCTTCTTTGAACTAAAACAGTCATCTGAAGTTAGAAAACAATGAATAATTAAGGAACACGATCTCTGTAAAAAATTAAAAAAGATTATACAAACCGGGTGTGATTTGTTTGTCTGTTTAGGCATTTCAAGGTTGGCCACCATTTGCTAAATTTCGAAAAGCTAAATTCATATTTTTGACTACCACAAAAAATAAAGGAATGTCCCCCATTTAAGGTTTTCTCTAATTCTCAACGTTTCCGATATGCCAATGGTGGCCTCCTTGAGTTGATCACCCTGTATACCTCAACACCTGTTTTACAGAATGCCAATCTTGGATACTGTATGAAACGTTTGTCAATTGTTTAAATTTTTATTTTGAATCTCAGTTTGTATCCTGAGCTTTATTTTAGTTAAGATTTATATAAGATAATTTATTTATTAACTAGTGCATTTATTTAACTGCATGGTACATTTCCAGGTTGTTGTTCTGGACAGATTGGGGTTATACGCCAAAAATTGAATGCTCAACTTTGAATGGAAAAGAGCGTAGAGTTATTATTGATTATGATCACATATGGCCAAGTGGAATCACGCTTGATATCCCATCCAAACAAATTTACTATGTAGATTGGAAAATTGGAACCATTTATAAAACCTCTTATGATGGATCACATAGAGAAGTTGTCTTTTTGTCATCACCGACAACATCCTTGCATTTGTTCGCAATAACTCTTTTGAATAACGAACTTTATTGGACAGACGGGCAGTCTAGATCTTTGTACACTTCGCCGAAATATAACATTACTGTTGCGAAACCACTTTTTTCTTCAAAGAATATATTATTGGTAAGTAATAAGAAAATAAAGTTAAAACCCTAGATTGCTCTTGATTTTTATCACACATTTAGTGTCTTCGGTCTGTCAGACCGTTTTCGGTTTTTTTTAAACTTTTTTTTATATAACTGTAATTATAAAAGATGAAACTGTGTAAAATTAATACTCCTACCTATATATGTTTATGGGGCTTATCGTGAAATAAACCCCCTCTGAATGTTAGTAAAATATGTTTTAAAGAACTAATAAATACTGGTGTCTTCGGACTGTGAGGCTGTTTGCGTATTTAACAAATATTGTATGTATATAACTATGGAAATACAAGATATAAACTGTGTAAAATGATTACAATTATATAATTTTACATTATATAAAAGTAGTAAATAATTTGCTATATATATAATTAAATTATATATAGTCACTGTCCCGGTACTGTTATTCAATTTAGGTGTCTTCGGTGTATGGGACCGAAGTACACAATTGCAGACGAATCTATAACCTAAAAATTACGCCCTCGCGTCTGGTGGTAGACTTGAGTCAAGGTAGGAAGGTAGCAGGAGACACAAGTCCTGCACCCTAGCGGGGGACTAGGAACTTGAAAATATTACGTCATCGGAAGACACCACTCTAGGGATAATGTACACGGGAATATTTTTTTATGCTACAATTTACTGCCAAGCACTGAGAAAAATCGGTAAAATGTATTACTTTCAATATAGGTTAATACTTTAATGTATTAATGTTACTAATGTACTAATGTATTAATGTATATTAATACTTTAATGTTTCCTTATATTGACTCGTCATTAAAGCTATATTTATGTATCATCATTATTTCAGATTCCGAATGGAATCAAGGCAGTTCATTCATCTCTTCAACCAACAAAAGAAAACCCTTGTGCGAAAGTTAATTGTAAAAACTTGTGTCTAGGCACCAAGTACCAAACTGCTGTTTGTATGGGAGAAGAGGAAAAATATGAACCCCATGATGGTAATCTTTATAAATATGTATACCGTCCAAGTATTCTGCAGTGGTAGAGTAGGAGGGTGGTGGAACACACCATGACTAGTTCATTGACATTTGTGCAGCATTTAAATGACGTTTTAGGCTTCTCATTGACGAGGGTGTCATTCTATATCCCTCACACTCAGCCAAGGGTGCCATGAGATATATTTTTCTATGCCACTGTGTTCATCCAACTACTGTATGAAAATGTACTGTACCAAAATGATCAAAGGGCAATGTTGGCTTAAGAGTAGAAAGGGTCTAATTGGCAACTAGTTTGCTAATATCACAACATTGTGTTTGAACTGTCTGCTTATTCACACATAGTCTAATTTATTCACCTGAGGAAGAAGAGCTGTTAATTGTGAAATACCCCCGCTGAAGCAAACCTGCCGACTAAGCGAATGTCCATCTTATATATTAAAAAAAAAAAAATGTTTTTCTTTTCCGAGTTTGTTTGGCTCTTCTACCCGACCGATTTTCATGATTGAGGTCTCAAATTGAAGGTATGCAAGCACAGATTTGCCATCAAGCATCGGCATATATTTATCTATAATCCCACTCGACATAAACGTAAACGAAATTTGCTCCCCATGTATTTCTTATGGGAGTTAAATTCGGGCTTCCTTTGCCAAGTTCGTTTGGCTCTTCTACCCGACCGATTTTCCTGATTGAGGTCTCAATTTGAAGGTATGCACGCACAGATTTGCCATCAATTATCGGCATATATTTATCTATAATCCCACTCGACTTAAACGTAAACTAAATTTGCTCCCCATGTATTTTTTATAGGAGTTAAATTTGGTTTTTCTTTGCCGAGTTTGTTTTTCTCTTCTACCCGACCGATTTTCATGATTGAGGTCTCAAATTGAAGGTATGCACGCACAGACTTGCCATCAAGCATCGCTATATATTTATCCATAATCCCTCTCGGCTTATACGTACGCTTATACGCTGTACTAAAACACTTTCATATACTAAATTATTTGTTTTTTAAGCTCTTTAAAAAGGTCTGAAGAAAAATTGATAAATTTTGTGCTTTAAGGGTAAAAAATTAGTAAACCCCATTTTTACCCCATAAAACCCTCCGTAAATCCCTGTTTCCATGGTCCGATCATGCTGGCTCGCAAACTCATTCAAGTTTATCCCGCCTTACACCTTCAAACCAAATTTCATCAAAATCGGACAAAAATTTATCAAGTTATCGTGTTCACGGACACACATATATATACATAATTTAACAATTTGAACGAATTGTGTTTTTGGCCTCTGGGGACATCAAAATGAAAAAGTAAATCGGTCCCGGGCCTAGGTCTTACCATGCCACCTACGGTAATAGGGAAATTCGCTAAAAGGAATGTGCCACAAAAATGTTGAAATTGAATATTGGTTGGATAGACTTTCTTGATCGTCTACTTCGTTAATCTGACCGTACATTTAATGTATTGGATGGCTGGATAGCCGAGTGGTTATAGTGCTCTTCTAAAAATTAAAAGGTTGCCGGTTCGATCCTGAGAAAAGTCAGTCACTTTTTGATGGCTCAATACTTGACTATGCTTTTCCTGAACATGGAGCTTTACATAAATGATCCTGGCCAATGAAACAGCTGATCTTAGTCAGTAACAAAGCTACACATATCATCTTAAACCACTCTTCTGTCACATTTGGGTTGAAATACGCTCCTAGGTCCCCATCTCAATGATTGATAATTATTGATATCGAAACGATTTTAACAATATCTGTAATGGTTGAAAAACTATGAAGATTTTGCATTTGTACCAAGTTCTCAGGTAACATCTGACTGGGGTGACGTTTTATGTTGTAGGGGAGTGTGGAGTACAGGAGGCGCCCTTGGTCCGTGTGGTGGGAGGTGAGGTGGCTTTGCCAAGGAGGTGGCCGTGGATGGCGGCCATCTTCCTGCACGGACCTCGTAGCACAGAGTTCTTTTGTGGAGGCTCTCTCATCGGCTCCAAGTACATCCTCACCGCAGCACATTGCACCAAAGACACTCATCAGAGGCCGTAAGCCATGAGAGCCCTACTAAAATTGTATCTTTGTTTACGATTGTGTTAACTGAAGTTGTTCCATTCAGTAAAGATGTAAAGGGAGTGTCTAACATAACATTGTGACTAGCAGGGAAAATTGACTAGGATAATTATGTTCCTTATAAATATTTTCCATGAAATTGATATTAATGAATGATTCACTCCTTCCACATACATGTCGAATTAATCTCTGGTTTTGTGACGTGTAAGACAAACTAGAAAGTATATTTATTTTTTTTTTTTTGTAGGGATATACATTTTTGAGATATAGAAATTTAGTTTTATACTTTACATTTAATAAATACAGGTTGATTTGATTTATTTTATTCTATTAAAAAAATAAAAAAAATTATTGATTCTTGTTCGAATGATATTTGAAGCCTTATGCCTTGCGGGTGTCCAAGGATACCCTACCAGGTCCTAAGGCGGCATCAAGGGAAGATACATGGGACAAGTAATCTTGGAGTGGTATAGACAATAGCAAGGGGAACAAATACAGTAACTCATTTAGAAGTTACATAAAATGGGGATGAGTTGATGCATAAAAGGTAGACTAATCTGATGTTAACAGGAACAATTCAATCAGTTCATAATAGTGATAGATATATGTCTTGGCACGTTGGTCAATGTGTAAGTCCCCTATAAAGTAGAGAGATGAATCGTTTTTATAACACTGCAAGTGATAGTACCACTAGTTTTACAAAATAATTTGTTGAATTGAATTAATTACTAAACACTTGATTAACTTTAATATAAAAATATGCTTTAGTATCATGACTATAAGTGTTTACTCACATTTCTTAGCCACCAAAGAGCAAGTAAGTTTTTAGCCAATTCTTAAGTATTAAACATCTTCAATGACAATTGAAAACTATACAAATGCCAACAAGTGTTGTGTTTCAGGTTCCAGGCTCGTCAGTTCATAGTGCGGCTTGGAGATATCGACCTGAATCGCAACGACGAGCCGTCAGATCCTCAGACGTACCGTGTGGCCGAGGTCAGGGCTCACCCGAGATACAACAACGAAGTCGGCTTCAACAATGACATCGCAGTGCTGGTATTGGAGAAATCTGTGACACGGTCACGTTACGTCATCCCCGTATGTCTGCCGCCTCCGCAGTACAGACAGAGCAACTTTGTGGGCGACCAGCCTACTGTGGTCGGATGGGGCGCGACATACTTTAGTACGTCAAACAAGTTTATATGCTTTTTCCAAAGAACCTTTATATTGGGAAGTGACTGTATTATTATGCAACAACAGTGATCTCACACTGGAAAATCTACAACTACATCACTAAGTGTGGGGATTCATGTTGGTGCATTGTTTTTTCCACTGATATGACTGCCGATGGTGTACCAAGTATGTCGGACAACAAAAGTGTCAGATTATTGAGGAAACACTGTTTAATCCATTGATTTATTTGGCAGGAGGTAAACCAAGTACAGTACAGAGACAAGTGGATCTACCTGTTTGGAAGAATGAAGATTGTGACAGAGCATACTTTCATCCTATCAACGAGAACTTCATCTGCGCTGGATTGATGGAGGGTGGAAAAGACTCTTGTCAGGTAATAAAATAATATGTTTTTTTTTATTACTTTGTAGTGTAGTGTAGGCATATCAACATTTTCATTTCCTAAGGGTGTGGACAATCAGTTCGGGATTGGAGATATTAAGGTTCAGATCCCACCAATCACTTTTAAGCTTTGTAATCACCAAATCCAGTGCTTAGAAGTAAAAGATGTGTCTGCATAGTGGCACCTCGGGGGGCCATACGCTTGCAAATACTTACTTACTCCTGTAGCCATTGAAAACCAAGGCGGTCTTTGGCCTCGCCAACCATGTGCCTCCAGGATCCTCTGTCTTCTGCCAGCTCCAGGTGTGCTGCCATACTCCTTAGATCCTTTGTAACCTCGTCAATCCATCTCATCCATGGCCTTCCCAATACTTAATGTGTGCAATAATTTCCTATAATGCCATGGACTGATTCCTGATGCCGACCGTACAGTACAAAGCTTTTCAGTAGTGACCCCTATAAACGATTACTGTCATGTATATTACATAGTATCTTTGATTGCTGATTAGAATAATTTAGTTTAATGTTTATAGCTATTTTTATCTAACACTGTTTCTGTTTCAGGGGGACTCTGGTGGACCTTTGGTGCTGAATAAGAACGGCCGTTGGATGCAGATTGGCATTGTGTCCTTTGGCGACAAATGTGGCGAACCAGGATCCCCGGGTGTCTACACTCGCATCACTCAGTACCTGGACTGGATCAGCAGCAACACTGTGTCATGATCACTCTACCACTGCCACCTGAATCAGCACATTGCCACCATCAGCGCCACCACCTACTGTATCCTACCAGCTGCGGACGACGTTCCTAGTGGATGCAACCAGGTTTACATTGTTATCCACTGCTTTACAGCATATAAGAGGATTTAAATCTTATTTCCCCTTAAGATAAAAATCTGTATAAATATAAATATAAATATAAGATAAATATCCTATTTATCTGTATTCAAATGTTGTATTGCAGATTTTTTTGACCAACAATAACATTTTTATTGGCATCAAACAAAGTGTATTTAACTATTTATAATGTATCAGTGAAAAGCAATAATTTGTACCTCTGCAACGACATGTGAGAATACATTGCTGTATATAACAAAGCTTTAAGTGTGGTTATAAATTAATTAATTGTAAGCACTATTCTTGAAAATATTTTTGTAAGTTATGGTTTCCATCAAGCTTGACCAAGCAAGCTAGTTTAATCTAAAACGAATGTCCTGTTCATTGCTTTATCCACTTTTTTTCATTGTATACAAAAACGCTGCAAAAGAAAATTGATTCTATTCCCAAGTAAATTTTGTCCGCGGATCATGGTGTGACTGTAGAAAGAAATCTACATGCTGATTGGGGAAGTCTCTAAAAGGCTGTCAAGGACTTTAATAAAACCCTGTTGGTCTTAAACACACGGATCAAGAAAGCAAAAGTTGCCATGCAATTAATCACTATCTCTTTGAAAAATAATGAGCCAGCCTCCCTGAGAGAATATGTGAGGACTTCTGTGAACTACCTAAGTCACTTATGCAACTTTTACTCGTTGAAACACTTTTCTTCACCTGTCTAATGGCAACGGATCTCAACTGAGATTTGTCTTCTTTCTACAGAAACCTAATCACAGAACTTGATTTATACTTGGTGGGAGCATCAATTTTCTTTCACCACGTGTTCTTATATTATGATGAGACTTGTAGTCCCATTGAGGTAGATGTACCGTAAGAACCTGACATTGGGCTCAGGCTAGCAACAGCTTGGCTGTGACAGGGGCTTAGTGGAGACTTAAATATACAGACAGCCGATTTTCTTATTTATACTCAGTGAAAATATTTTCAACTTAAAAATGTAATGCTAGTTTTAAAAAGAAGTATAATTATAATGAATAGTGTTTTGTAAGCTACAAACAAACTGCCATACAGTGTTACTTAGACCACAAAAAGTACATTATTTGTAGCTCTCAAAATTCCCTATTGTTTTGTAAATTTAATGAAATACTCCCTGTCTAAATGCAAGTATATGTTTGGTTTACATTATTTTTGTTAAAGTTTGAATACTATTAGTTGCAGTTTACCATTAAGGATTTTTAAGTCACTAGTGTAAGTCTACAATGTAAGTAAATTAAATGTAAAGATGTTTGAGCTTAGACTTTGTTAATATTTTTGTATTTATTGACTTCAGTATGTAATTAATATTAAATTAATATAATGTTTAAGTGCTTTGCCCATTATTTTACCTTTTAGTGATCAGTAAGGCAGTGGTATCCACTAAGTTACAGGCATATCAGTAATATCCATTACTGTCTTATGAAATGGCGACCATACAAAGTAGGGTATTTTAGCCAGGTATGAATGGAGATGAGTGACTGATTAGTGGCGCGACCATTTTAATCTGAGGAAAGGAAAGATTACATTCTACTAAACATTTCTGGAATTCTCTAAAACTAATTTTCTTCTTTTCCTTAAAGTTAAAGGAAAAAGTAGGAGTAGGGACAGTGGAGGGTAACATTCACATCAGTGAATTTTCTCTAGAGGGAGAGCTTTCTTTAAAAGCTACTAGGAAGGACCATCAACTAGACAGTGAGACCTATCTCTAGTATAGAATTCGTATGACGATATCTAGAATAATATTGCATGGACTAGAGAAAAACTATTCCCGTTTTATAACAATTATTGTAGATTTTAAGAAGTTTAATAAGTAAAACCTGAGGCGCATTTTTGTAAAATTCATACGGAATTCTATCGCAACCCGGTGCTTTGTTTTGTTTAGCACTGAACAAGACGGTTGTTAACTCAGAGAGAGTGAAATCACTATCAAGGTATGCATCTACGATAAAAGGTTCTGCGTAACTTATCTTATCTACTAGTAAAGGTGGGTTGAGTAGGGTGTGAAAATGTTTAACCCACTCTGACGATGCAATTTTCCCAATCATTTTCCCTTCCTTTTTTTTTTAATTACAATGACTGCTTGCCAAAAACTCCTTGAATTTGATGTTTGACTTAAATTGATAACTCAATTATTTTGGTACAATTGTTTCTTTTCTCTACAAAGGGATCTAAAAGTTTTTTACTCATGGGAGTACTGTAATTTGATTATTTGGCAGTTTGATTTCCTGTAACGATTTAACATCTTAAAAACCCGTTTTCTTTGAGCAAAACATTCGTTATCGAACCAAGGCTGTTTCTTAATAAAAGTATAAGATTTTTGTTGTGGCTTTAATTTAAAGGCCGCTGCTTTAACAATTGTCTCTGTTAACTCTGCTATAACTTTCTCGTTGTCCTCTGTATTCGAAAACTGGAGCATGGCTCTATGGATTTTGTTACTGTAAAATAAATCGTCATTTTTAGTCCATTTTAATTTAGGTAACAGAGGTAGGATAACATTGTCATCCTCACCCTCAATCCCATTCTCGACTAGGACCCTTAAGCTCACTTCAACTGGCATGTGATCAGAACCTGGGCAACTGATAACCTTAAAATCGCTTACTACGCTTAAACAATCTATAGATACTGAAACTAAATTAATTACTGTACTGAGCTTCCCATGCCACCTAGGAAAGTAAACTCTCCATCATTATCACCTTTTGTCCTACCGTTAAAACTACTAACCCTAAATTTGTAAATAGATCTAATATTTTCTTACCTCTAGAATTCACTATGGTATCTTTAGACCTTCTGCAACTAACTAACGAGTTATTACCATGACACCTACGGTAATAGCTACTTCCCTATGGGAAAATTCGCTAAAAAGCTTGAATAAAACCATCGACTTATGGAAATTGTCAATTATAAAACGCTACAGGCTTGGAAAGACACGAGGAAAATTGTATTGCTTTACCCAACATCAATTATCAGACTGTACATGTTATAGTTTCTGTCAAATTAAGACTGTGAGACATTAAACTAATAGTGTAGAAATATCAGTTTCAACAATACAGTATTTGATTTCTTATAGGGCTCGTTTAGTAATCAATCAGGTAGTCGGTTCAATCATTTGGTCAGTAACTTTTTGATGGCTGAGAAACTAGACTCCGTCCTTCATCACGCATGTTTTCATAAATAACGGTCCTAACTAAAAAAAAAACTCAGGCTAAAATACGCAGAATGTCTTGTGTCAATGTAATGAATGATACTAAACGTACAGTTAGCGTTTTCCCTATTATTACCACCTCTTTTAATCGGACCTCTTTTGGCTGATTATGCAAAGTTTAGATGAATCTGGAGCCAAAGTTCGGTGTTATCATTAACCTCCGTCGCTAAAGACTCATTATCACGAGAGGTCAATTCAAGGTCATGGACGTGTTTTTACCTTTGATAGTCGTCGGTGTTATCATTTACGGTGTCATATAAATCAATCTTTTAAATGATTGACGCAAAGTTATAAAAACTATTTCTCATTTATGTCAGAATCACGTACTAGTGAATCAGTGATACCCATCAAAGTTTATCATGATAGAACTTATCATGGATATTAGACTGTACATCGCTATAAGCAGTGTACAGTGCAAAGAGACACCTAGACTACTCTACGCAAGTCTGTTGTAGACTTTTCATTATTCTAATAGATTTTCCACGTTTGTTTACGTTTCAACCTTGCCAAAGGTATCACAAGCCCGTAAGAACAGTGTGACTTAAAACTTTAACAGTAATTTGGCCTCTAGAACCTTAATTTATGTAAACGACTGTTCATGGAAAACAGCAGTCTACTTTGAGTGGCACTTAGGCTTGTACTTCAGATCTCAGATCAGTTGTCCAGTGGATAGACAACGTAATCAAAGATTTCACACACAGTTTAAAACAACAAAAATGCGTATATATTATATTGCAATATGTAAGTTAGAAGGTAAGTGTGCTAGAAAAAACGCCTAAAAAGTACAATAGCTATTTGAAAGTTAGACCAGCACTTGCGAATAATAAGAAAGTAAAAATTCTTATTTAGTGCTCTGTGGTCAAAATACCTTATTAAGATGCTGTCTTTAATTTTACTATTCTAGTAGGTTGCAATTTAAATTTAATGCAAGAGCAGTATTGCATTTTAATTTTGAATTTAAAAACAAGGAAACCAAATAATACTTGGAGGCGATTTTTTTTTTAACTAGAACTTAATTCATCAAATACGTTTTGATTTGTAATAGTAAATTTTATCAATACGCATCTTACAATACAATACCCAAGTTTATAATTAATCGTTGAAAGGTTACACTATTGGGACATTGGGTATTAATGTTATTTCAGTCAGATAGGTACAGTTAGCTGTCGGAACCAAATTAACTCTCGATGTGATGTGAGGTTTCCGCCTCGACTTGGCAACCTCTAGCGAAAGTAATTGGCGGGAGAAGCGACCTTGGAACCACTTGGGCCGTCCTGGTGGACAAAATGAACCACTTGAGGTAGGTCACCAAGCCTGTACCGTACCTAACCTGGTGCGTGGTCAAAATAAACCACTTGTGGTAGGTCACCAAGCCTGTACCGTTCCTAACCTGGTGCGTGGTCAAAATAAACCACTTGTGGTAGGTCACCAAGCCTGTACCGTACCTAACCTGGTGCGTGGTCAAAATAAACCACTTGTGGTAGGTCACCAAGCCTGTACCGTTCCTAACCTGGTGCGTGGTCAAAATAAACCACTTGTGGTAGGTCACCAAGCCTGTACCGTACCTAACCTGGTGCGTGGTCAAAATAAACCACTTGTGGTAGGTCACCAAGCCTGTACCGTTCCTAACCTGGTGCCAGGTCAAAATAAACCACTTGTGGTAGGTCACCAAGCCTGTACCGTGTCTAACCTGGTGCGTGGTCAAAATAAACCACTTGAGGTAGGTCGCCCAGTCTGTTGCGTGCCTAACCTGGTGCCAGGTCAAAATAAACCACGTGTGGTAGGTCACCAAGCCTGTACCGTACCTAACCTGGTGCGTGGTCGAAATAAACCACTTGTGGTAGGTCACCAAGCCTGTACCGTACCTAACCTGGTGTGTGGTCAAAATAAGGTAGGTCACCCAGTCTGTACCGTGCCTAACCTGGTGCCAGGTCAAAATAAACCACTTGTGGTAGGTCACCCAGCCTGTACCATGCCTACCCTGGTCCCAGGTCAAAATAAACAACTTGTGGTAGGTCACCAAGCCTGTACCGTGCCTAACCTGGTGCCAGGTCAAAATAAACCACTTGTGGTAGGTCACCCAGTCTGTACCGTACCTAACCTGGTGCGAGGTCAAAATAAACCACTTGTGGTAGGTCACCCAGCCTGTACCGTACCTAACCTGGTGCCAGGTCAAAATAAACTACTTGTGGTAGGTCACCCAGTCTGTACCGTACCTAACCTGGTGCCAGGTCAAAATAAACCAATTGTGATAGGTCACCCAGTCTGTACCTTGCCTAACCTGGTTCCAGGTCAAAATAAACCACTTGTGGTAGGTCACCCAGCCTGTACCGTACCTAGCCTGGTGCCAGGTCAAAATAAACCACTTGTGGTAGCTCACCAAGCCTGTACCGTACATAACCTGGTGCCCGGTCAAAATAAACCACTTGTGGTAGGTCACCCGGCCTGTACCGTGCCTAACCTGGTGCCAGGTCAAAATAAACCACTTGTGGTAGGTCACCCAGCCTGAACCGTACCTAACCTGGTGCCAGGTCAAAACAATTTGTGGTAGGTCACCAAGCCTGTTGCGTGCCTAACCTGGTGCCAGGTCAAAATAAACCACTTGAGGTAGGTCACCCATTCAGTACCGTACCTAACCTGGTGCGAGGTCAAAATAACCCAAAACATTTGACCAAACGTGAAAACCAACTTCTAATTGAGTTAATGCAATAGTCCGATACATTCTTTTGAAGGGCTTAGTAAACTCAACATTTTCACTAAGTAACAAATGCAGTAGTAATGAGGACGATTAGATTAAGCTATCTACAATACTAAAATGTTATGGGAAGGGAGGGAAACAGGTCCATGACGTAGGAAGGGGTGAAGGAAGTAGTCAAGGCGAGCTGTCCGGAGTGTGGAAATTGTTAATGACGATTAGATTAAAGTATCTACAATCCTAAAGTGCTATGGGAATGGAGGAAAACAGGTCCATAACGTAGGAAATGGTGTAGGACATAGTAAAGGCGAGCAGTATGGAGTTTGGGTATGGATTTAAATGTATCTCCAATACTAAGACTGCTTTCAGAGTGAACTATTAACTTTTAACAGGTACCACACTCCGGACAGCTCGCCTTGACTACTTCCTTC